TCAGTATACTATGGAAGCTTGTTTCCCCCACGGAATAAGAAAAAGTAAAAGATAATTGTGACTTTTTTTCCTCACAATTCTGACTTTTTCCCCCCAAATTATGAGTTTAAATAAAGTCCAATACTGAGGAAAAAACACTGACTTTTTTCGCAATTGCGAGTTTATCTAAAAATTTTGCCTTTTTTCACAATTGTGAGTTTATATCTCGCTATTCTGACTTTTTCGTAATAGTAAGTTTGTCTCGCAATTCTGACTTTTTTTCTTACAATTGTGAGTTTATATCTCGCAATTCTGACTTTTTCGTAACTGTAAGTTTATGTCTCGCAATTCTGACTTTTTTTCTGACAATTGTGAGTTTATATCTCGCAATTCTGACTTTTTCGTAATTGTAAGTTTATATCTCGCAATTCTGACTTTTTTTCTAACCATTGCGAGTTTTTATCTCGCAATTCTGTTTTTTTTTCCACAATTGCAAGTTTATATCTCGCAATTATGATTTTTTTTCGCAATTGCAAGTTTATATCTCCCATTCTGACTTTTTTCGCAATTGCAAGTTTATATCTCCCCATTCTGACTTTTTTCGCAATTGCAAGTTTATATCTCACAATACTTACTTTTTTCTTACAATTGCGAGTTTATTTCTCGCAATTCTGACTTTTTCATAATTGTAAGTTTATATCTCGCAATTCTGACTTTTTTTTCTTACAATTGTGAGTTTATATCTTGCAATTCGGACTTTTTTTCTAACCATTGCGAGTTTTTATCTCGCAATTCTGGGTTTTTTTCCACAATTGCAAGTTTATATCTCCCATTCTGACTTTTTTCGCAATTGCAAGTTTATATCTCCCCATTCTGACTTTTTTCGCAATTGCAAGTTTATATCTCACAATACTTACTTTTTTCTTACAATTGCGAGTTTATTTCTCGCAATTCTGACTTTTTCATAATTGTAAGTTTATATCTCGCAATTCTGACTTTTTTTTCTTACAATTGTGAGTTTATATCTTGCAATTCGGACTTTTTTTCTAACCATTGCGAGTTTTTATCTCGCAATTCTGGGTTTTTTTCCACAATTGCAAGTTTATATCTCCCATTCTGACTTTTTTCGCAATTGCAAGTTTATATCTCCCCATTCTGACTTTTTTCGCAATTGCAAGTTTATATCTCACAATACTTACTTTTTTCTTACAATTGCGAGTTTATTTCTCGCAATTCTGACTTTTTCATAATTGTAAGTTTATATCTCGCAATTCTGACTTTTTTTTCTTACAATTGTGAGTTTATATCTCGCAATTCTGACTTTTTTTCTAACCATTGCAAGTTTATATCTCGCAATTCTGGCTTTTTGTTCGGAATTTCAAGTTTATATCTCGCAATTCTGACTTTTTCCGCAATTGCAAGTTTTTATCTTGCAATTCTGACTTTTTTTCTAACCATTGCGAGTTAATATCTTACAAATTCTGACTTTTTTCTCACAATCCTGCATTTTCTCTAAGTTTCTGACTTTATAATACGCAATTGCGAGTTCTAAAGTCCAATTTTGAGGGGAAAAAAGACAATTGTGAGTTTGTATCTAACAATTCTAACTTTATAACACACAATTCTGAGAAAAAGAGAAAAAAGTCAGAATTGTGTGAATTTCTTTAAATTATTTTATTCAGTAGTTTATGTTTTATTCAGTGGCTTTATTGATTTTTAAGCTTCCACAGCACACTGATACACTGTGCAGTGTGTACTATATAGTAGGCCTATGCAGTGCTCCAGTATCCCATTCCGCACACAGCCGGTTTGTTTTGATTGGCGGAGGCGCGAGTTAAGCCACGCCCCGCTAGTCTCGGGGGGCGTGGCCAGCACATGTGTCAGACGCAGCACAGCTAGAGTGAGTGAGTCAGTTCAACAATCTCACTCTCATCCACCCGGAATGTCTCAAACTCTCAGGAGAAACACCCGCATGTGTGTCCTCCTCACATCAGTGCTCCTCTGCATCACACCATAAAGGACATTCACTGAATCAGGTAGGACAAGTCAATATTTCACGTCTTTATGATTGCTTTTCACCATGCAAACACATTTCGTTTCAATAATCTGCGGTATTACTTTAGTAGTGTCCTAAATCTGTTATGCATCATGCATATGGCGACGGGAGGAGGAATCGCCATGTTTAGGAGATGAAGACTCACTGTCTTTGGCTTGTGTTGAGATTTATCTCCTGAACATCAGAGCACGGATACAAGAGTTGCGTTTATATGAAGCCAAACAGCTGAAGTCTTGTGTCATGAACGTGTTTGTGTGTTGTTGTTTGTATCACTCAGAGGGTTAACAGCTTGTTTTCATCGAAGAAAAGTTTCTGTATCTGCTCTGTAAAGATGGTTTTCATAGAATTGCCATCGTGGCAGTCATTTGAAGCCTTGAGTGTTCTTGTCCCAGTCTGACTCGACTGTGTGGGTGTAATGCATCAGCATCAGTGTGGGAGGTGTGTGTGTGTGTGTGTGTGAAGATCAGATGTGTAGGAGAAGCTTCTGAAGAGCCTCAATCCTCTCACTTCTCCCTGTTGGACTTGAGAAAAGTCTTAAGGTTTGGCGATACTGCAAAATTTGGTATCGATCCGATTAGCAAGTAAATACAGGAACAGCATCGCCGATACCGATACTTTTTGCTTTTAAAAGCATGCGCTTTAACTTACATGAAGGGGACAGCAGTGTCATGATTAATATTAATATGCTAAATCTAAATTCATTTTCTTGACCATAAAATATTTTCTGATTTGTTGACGCAATTAGTCAAACTCATAAAAAAATATATATTTTGGTCAAACTTTTGCACTTTTTTTTCTGACAGATTTATTAACAACAATCTCACAACATAACACAATCCACTTTAACTTTTAATTATCAAAACTAGCCTAACATGACAAATGTTACATGTATGCTATTGTTCAAGAGTCTCTTCTGCTCACCAAGGCTGCATTTATGTGATCCAAAATACAGTAATTAAAAAAATAAAAAAATTATTATGATGTAAATCAGCTGTTTTCTATGTGAATATATAGGAAAATGTAATTTATTCCTGTGATCAAAGCTGAATTTTCAGCATCATTACTCCAGTCTTCAGTGTCACATGATCCTTCAGAAATAATTTTTAATATGATGATTTGCTGCTCAAGAAACATTTATGATTATTATTTGTGTTGAAAACGGTTTCATATTTTTTTAGAAAAAGATACATTGTATTTTTCAGGATTCTTCGATGAATAGAAAGTGCAAGAGAACAGCATTTATTTGATATTGAGTTAACTTTATTGTCCCCGAGGGGAAATTTTGCTTGGGCGCAGTGCAGAGTTGTTTCATAAAATGAACATCATACAAAACATCACAAATTACAAACAGAAGCAAATATAGACAAAAGAAAAAGAGACATAATTGACAGCACAATTCCATGGATTAAAGTGCAAGTGCTTAAGCGCTAGTATGGTTGTTGGAAATTACTCCATCCATTGTATTGAAGTTTTTGTAAAGTTCATATGCTAAGGTGCTAGTATATATATTGCACATTGCCCTATTGCACTGAGATCACAGGTAAAGTGCTGAAGTGCTCACACAGTTTTATTTCACATCGTTCAGCAACTTAATAGAGACTGGCACGAATGATAATTTTAAGCGATTACTTTTGCA